TCCAGTCTACAGTCGCTAGCCCATCGTCGGGCAGTTGCTTCATTGTCCTTATTCTACCGATACTACTTTGATTTTTGCTCTTCGGAACTTGCCTCGGCAGTTCCCCTTCCTGCAACTTTTACCCGCTCATCCCGTACACAGTCATCTAGTCATCGTTATCAGGTTTCTGTTCCCAGGTGTCGTGTCTCTCCACTCCAATCTTCCTTTTTCCCCCAAACTGCCAAATTGCAGAACATACTCCCCTTTGTTGTTTTCCCCCCAACTTACAATCTTGCATTTTTTAGACGCAGAATCAATAAACTGGATCTTACATGAATAATCCCATACTCTCCCCTTTACAGCATGCTATTTGACCATGGTTATTTCCCCGTTTACTATAATCCACATTGTTTAATAAAAATATATCAGGCGACGACGAAGCCCGCTCAGTCAGTCAGCGCGGGGGTAGGCATTGTACTCAGCAACAAGGCGGAGTCCTCTCTTATCGACGTGATGATTTAAATGAGCAGTGGAATCAAATTAGGTGAGCAATGCATTCCGCTGCGAATGTTCCTTGTGGGACTGAGCCTAGAGCCCAACTGAGGCATCGGATATCTGATGAACCTGTAGCATTGATGGATCAAAACGACAAATCCCGACCTGCCAAGATCAAAACAAAGTTGGTTAGCATGTACAACGTCAGCTAACGAAGAGCCTCGAGAAGGACCGTGAGAACTGGTGGGCAACAATAACTAGTGAAATGGAAGTAGCAACTGTATCAGGGAATAGTCAAAGACTGTTCCGACTGATACGCAATACGGGAGGTCGGCGAACTCCAGTTAGTGAAACAGTCTGCGATAAGAGGGGACGAACTATTCACAATANGGATCAACGACTCGATCGCTGGGCAGAATACTTCAGCGAACAGTTCAGCTGGCCTAGTGCTAATCAGGCTACTTCATCTACAACTGAAGCTCCGTGGGCAGTGTCATGCGATCCTCCAGCAGACGTTCAATCTTGCATTCAAGCTCTGAAGCGAGGAAAGGCAACAGGACCGGATGAACTCCCTCCCACTATTTTCAAGATGTGAGACGATAACCTCATAAGCTGTATTACTACCCTACTGCGCAACATTTGGATGCAAGAACACATTCCTTCATCTTTGAGCGAATCACTGATCGTTCCCATTTTCAATAAAGAATGTCGCAACGACTGTGAAAACCACCGCGGGATCAGTTTGATCCTGATCGTCACCAAAGTGCTAGCTTCGGTTATACTTCGATGTCTGACGCCTTTAAGAGAGACCAACATCCGTGAACAGCAAGCCGGATTCCGACCTTGCCGTGGATGTATTGATCAAATTTTTACGTTGCGTCAGATCCTTGAGCTGCGTCATATTCACTGTCGGCCAACGATCGCAGTGTTCCTTGACCTGAAAGAAGCCTTCGACTCAGTTGACCGCGAGCCTCTAATGGGCTGCCTTCTTCGAAAAGGAATGCCCCAGAAGTACGTCAACCTACTGAGGTCGTTGTAGTCACAGACCTCCGGTCGTGTAAGAGTTTACAACAATCTAAGTAGGCTGTTTGTCACCAGCAATGGCGTTCGTCAAGGATGCCCTCTTTCGCCGTTCCTGTTCCATTTCGTCGTAGACGACACATACTTCTCAGATATTCATTCCTCAACAAACAGCTCCATAGTGCGATCCTATCGATAGAGTCGAAGGCCGCACGGATTTCTAGGAATACAATGATCGTTGGTCGTTGGTAGGCATGACGGTGCTCCAGCAGCTGTCGGAGGGCGAAGATTTGATCGATGCACCCACGACCGGCACGAAACCCAGCCTGCTCCTCACGTGTAGTGTACAATCGACGGGGAATGACGGAAGCCAACAGCTTTGACGCTATCTGGATTAAGCTTATGCCCCTACGATCGGCGCAGTAATTGCGCGGACCCTTTTTGAAGATGGAGACAACAATCGATTTCCTCTCACGAGGAGGGGACCTGCTCAGTGTTCCAAATTTAGAGAACAGAACCTGTAGTTCTCTAATAAGCTTAATTCCGTCATCTTTTAATAGGGCTGGGGAAAGGCCATTGGAGCCCGGCGATTTGTGACGGCCCAAGGCTTGGATCGCCTGATGGACCTCAAAAGGTGCCGGAATAGCTTTGTGAGAAGCTGACGCTGGACGCCAGCTAAATTGTATTTTGAAGTGCTCAGCTCAGCGTGCAAGGCGTCGCTGTTGACTATAAATGGGCGAACCGTCAGCTTCGCAGATCGTTTCGCTCACACCCAAGGCTTTCCTACCGGTGACCCGGATGGGATGGAACAGCTTACGGGAATTACCCACGGCGGCAGCACTTTCCATCTCTGACGCGCATTGAGCCCACCATATCTCGCGGTCTCTGTGTACGCTTGCATTAAGTTCGCGTCTCGTTACCAGTCGTGTTTCACTATGGTCATTGCCGTTCAGAATAGACCGTAAGTGAAACTTCACAGATCGGTTAGATGGGGACGTCAATCGGACAATGGAGCTGGAATCTTGAATGCTAGTTTCTTGGATGCAACACATCGATGGCTAGGGTTTTGAGCGTACGAGCTAAACACACCTGTTGTTCTATGCACACCAGAGTACGCACATTAAACGTGGCTAGTTTGAAAGGACGTCGAGGGCGGAGAAGGGCTTCAGCTGGTGGAGGATTCGGTGAGACTTGGGCGGTAGTCGAGGTAGGACGAGAGCGAACAGCGGCAGAATTTCCGCCCGAGGCACTACTGCTAGTACGATCGTCTGAAGTACCCGAGAGAGATGGAATGGAGTTGGGAGGGTAGAGGTGAGGTGAGAGAGGCTGGGAGAATAAAAGGATGTACGGTGTAGAAAGTCTTTCGATTGTTGAGGGTTTAGAGTGCGAAATCATGAGAGCGAGAACGTTCATAGTTGTCTGCGCTGTGTGCTATTATGCTTCTCGGTCGCCCAGTCCAGAGTAGGCCTTATTCGAGGATGCACTCTAGCCTTTGCGCAACCAAGCGCGGACTGCAAGGCAGAAATGATGTTCTAGATGGGCCGGTGGCCGGTTTTCGGTTCATTCGCCTCTTCTGGAAAACCTTGTCGGGCAAAGGAACTGGACAAGGGGCTATAGCCATATTTAGTGGCGGACCACACTCGCCACGTCACAGCGCTGTCCACAGATATTTGTGGTGTTTTCTGAGGAGACCCCTTGCCGGGAGTTCAACCTACCACATCCTCGAGCGCTGCCGTTGATCGTCCGCGACCGCTTATTCGGCAGGCCGAAGCCCAACTTATTCACGGTTAGTCGCGAGATGACGGCTGTTCCCGTTTCCGCGACCTGGGGACGCGCTCGGTAGCATACAGCTCTGCTCTCTCGAGACTGTATATATGCATTTCTCTAGATTTGAGAGTCCGTTTGCGTAACCGATATTGTTTTTCATACACCTTGATTCATTAACCATCGACTGTCTGTTTTCACTTAACATTGTGAAATTTGGCTAAGATATCTAAATTTAAGAATATACCAAAGTCGTTTTGCGTTTGGGTCGTTCACCTAAGCCTACAGAGAACCTGGCGGGAGCAGACAGTCGGAATATACACAGGCATTTCAGCTTTCAGTAATTTGGTACGCTGAGTTGGTGTCCGTTGGTTGGCGCATCTCACGTCCACACGGGTCAGATAGACGGATTCACAAGTCTCTTGTCAGCATTACAGCCTAGATGCGCCTATTTAAACGACAAACGGTCCCTATCTACTTTCGGACTTTTAGATCCCAAGAATGACCATATTTTTTTGCATTGAGCCTCAACATAACTCCCGCGGCAGTTATTGCCTGCGTTATGCGGTCCGCACCAGCCTTTCCTGTGTCCCTTTTTCATATTTGTCTCCTGTCTACTTTTCCTTCACTCTCCTTTTTGGTTATCTTTTTCATTTTTGATTACGCATGTTTCTGTGGTAGGTAGCAGACAAAGTAGACCTCATAGTCGCAAAGACCTACCATTCCTTGATGGAAAACCGCACCTAAGCTCCGGGACTTGGAGTGGCGAAAAACACACAAGTATCTGCTAAGTTAGTCGTAGTATTGAACGAGACGACAACAAGGCGGTGGCGGAGTTAGAACTACAGACCACAGGGTTTCAAACATACCGGTAACAGCGACTAAGCCTCTGCACCTTCACCCCAGTCAGAGGGATCTTCAATGCATTCTACAATTTATTCTACTTCTCTTTTCAGGCTAATGGTTGATTGAAAACACCATGAAGGTATTTAATGGAAGTGTTGTTTCTCCGATTTCTTTGCTTCGAAACACCATTCCCCTTTGGAAACGCAATTTTTCTGACCACGTTACAATTGAAAGTGAAGCATCATTAGATTCTCCAGTCCACAGAACCAAATGGTTGCAATATGAAA